AAAATAATAAAAATATGAAACAATTTCCCTTCTACGTGACTTTACACCACTGTTATATATTCTTGGTTCTTTCAGTAAAGTCACGTAGAAGGGAAACAATAAAATAATAAAAATATGAAACAATAAAATTCTCACAACGTTTCGACTGCAACACAAGCAATCATCATCAGGTGTGAAAACCAGAGCAAGAAAATTTGAAAAAAGTGGTTTTCAAACCTGATGATGATTTCTTGTGTTGCGGTCGAAACGTCGTGAGAATTTTATTGTTTTATATTTTTATTATTTTATTGTTTCCCTTCTACGTGACTTTACCGAAAGAACCAAGAATATGAATCCCTGCAGTCACGAAAGCTTTAATTCACGATTTGAAGCATGTTTCATTTTCAAAAAGGAAATATGGTTTTTGGGGGGGGGGGGCAGAGCTTTGTGACGCCGTATGACGAGGGGGGGGGGGTCAAAAATCGCCCAAACTCGCGTGACGTCATTTATGGACAGCCCCAAAGCCACAACATTTTCAATCTGAGTACGAGGTTTCGCCAGTAATTACAACTAGCTTCAGCTTCATGTTTACGTGACAAACCCTACTAATTGGCTGTGTTGGGTGGTGGCGGGTTTAACGACACATTTATATATTTACGCGATCTAGCCCCCAAAAAACTGTATTACGGATGACATTGGTCGCGAAAACTTACGTTTTATACTGTAAAGCTCGTTTTCACAGGTGTCCCAGTGGGGCAGGTAAGAACGTTAAAACAAATAGTACAAAAACACGATAGGAGTCCAAAGTATAATAAAGGTAAACAAATCATCCAAACACACACCAATAAAACTAAACCATCACCCCCATCCTACCAGGTATTCATTTAGAAGCGACCTCGCGAAAAATGATAGCTCAACAAAGTGGCCCATCATTTGGACATTTCTGAGCAATAAAGCACTTTCTCACAGATGCCCAACAGCAACAAACAATACAAAAACACGATCGGAGTGCAAAAAATAGGAAAGGTGAATAAATAATTAACCAAAAATTTACACAAATTGAGCTTAACTATGTTTTTTACCAGGTAAAGCCCAGTGAGGTATTAACTTATTTTTCAGAAGCGACCTGGCCACAAATGATAGCAGAATCTTGACTTAAAGCTTTCGTGACTGCAGGAATTCATATTCTTTGGGTCTTTCGGTAAAGTCACATGGATAGGTTAAAAGAAAAATAACAAAAAAACTACGACGTTTCGATCACAACACAAGCGATCGTCATCAGGAGGAAAACAATAGGCAGTAGTTACATTGGGGAAACTAAGCGACATGTCTCGGACCGTGTTTGTGAACATAAGGCAGATCTGAAACACGGTAGGACCAATACCTCGGCCGTGGATGATCATTGTTTTAATGCAGTGGGCTCACACGAAATTGATTTCTCTAAGACGAAAGTACTTTGCAAACCCACTGGCTATCAACAAATATTCGTTCAAGAAGCCATCCACATATACAGACACAGACACAACTTCAGTCGAGAAGATGGGTTATGAACTGAGCAATCATTGGAAGGACGTTATCAAGCAGTTTAAGTCATAACTGGCTGTGATGTTCCCATCCTACCACCTTCCGATGCTAGTTGTTATTTTCGTCTCTCTGATTTTACATTAACAGGTTAAAATTCCCACACTAACACGGCCACCTCACTCGCCGAGCCCGACATTGCTGCTCTGCGATCTTACATTAACATGCTAATTTCTTACATTAGCATGCTAATTTCTTACATTAACATAACTCGCCCCTCCCACTTCGTTTATGACCCTTGGGCTACACCCATTTCAGACCTTTAAAACAGTCTGCCTCTGCAGCTTTCACCCTCTTTTTGTTCCTCCTGATGCCGATCGCTTGTGTTGTGATCGAAACGTCGTAGTTTTTTGTTACTTTGTAATTTTTTTCTTTTAACCTATCTACGTGACTTTACCGAAAGACCCAAAGAAAATTATAGCAGCTCACAACAGAAGTGGCTTATAATGCAGACATTTTAAGCGGAAGAATAATCGAAACAATCAGAATTGCATGTTTCTAAATGTGGAGGGGAAAACCCCGAGGAACCGAATAAAGATTATGAAACACGTGACATATAAATGGATATTACAGCGAATTGCATATAACGCTTTATTATTTTCAATTAGTGAAAGTTATGGCAAAAATAAAAAAAATTACGCCCGATGGTCTGGACGGATTGGACAGAACAAATGAGAAATGATGTATATCTGTGCAAAAGAGCTTTATAGCTCATCGGATTCCTGCAGTATAAATAGTTATTCTGCAAATGGCTTCGTAGCTTATCTGATTTCTCTAAGATAAATGAAAGAATCTGATACCTAAATCCCAATTGTGAGACTCGATTCCCTAATGGATTCGTGTACCAGAATCGATACGCGTCCGTACATGCATCGATGTACACTCAATAAGTAATTAGGGGCCTAGATTTGATGCCTTCGTGACTGCAGGAATTAATCTTTGTTTTTTTTCGGTAAAGTCACGTAGAAATAAGAAAAATAATCCCCTGGTATATCTGTGTTAATTCCCTTTACTTAAGGTCTGTATATATATCTGCGGTTATGTGTTTCCTCTACCTGATGATGATTGCTTGTGTTGCAATCAAAACGTCGTATATTATGTAATTTTATTTTTATTTTTCTTATTTCTACGTGACTTTACCGAAAGAAACAAAGATTAATTAGGGGCCGTCGATAAATGACGTCACGCACCTGGGGGGGGGAGCATAGTGATAGCGAAGCTGAAGCAAGACGGAGCAGTTATCAGTGGAGAGAGCATAGTGATAGCGAAGCTGAAGCAAGACGAAGCAGTTATCAGTGGAGTGAGCATAGTGATAGCGAGGCTGAAGCAAGACGAAGCAGTTAGCAGTGGAGTGAGCATAGTGATAGCGAAGCTGAAGCAAGACGAAGCAGTTAGCAGTGGAGTGAGCATAGTGATAGCGAAGCCGAAGCAAGACGAAGCAGTTAGCAGTGGAGTGAGCATAGTGATAGCGAAGACGAAGCAGTTAGCAGTGGAGTGAGCATAGTGATAGCGAAGCTGAAGCAAGATGGAGCAGTTAGCAGTGGAGAGAGCATAGTGATAGCGAAGCCGAAGCAAGACGAAGCAGTTAGCAGTGGAGTGAGCATAGTGATAGCGAAGACGAAGCAGTTAGCAGTGGAGTGAGCATAGTGATAGCGAAGACGAAGCAGTTAGCAGTGGAGTGAGCATAGTGATAGCGAAGACGAAGCAAGACGGAGCAGTTAGCAGTGGAGAGAGCGTAGTGATAGCGAAGACGAAGCAGTTAGCAGTGGAGTGAGCATAGTGATAGCGAAGCCGAAGCAAGACGGAGCAGTTAGCAGTCGAGAGAGCGTAGTAATAGAGGAGCTGGAGACGAGGCGTGCGGAGACAGAGAAGCGAGATTGGGTTTCGCTGCGTGCGACGACGCTGTATAGCGGAGGAGCTGAGGAGGACAGCCAGCAGTGGAGAGAGCGTAGGGATAGAGGAGTTGAAGACGTGTGTGTGCGGAGCAGAGCGACGTGATACTGGGAACCAAGGTGGTGAGCGAGATGGGCGAAGCACGGCGAGCGAGCCGCGGTGTCCAGGACACGGTGGAGTGTGGAGGACGTGAAAATTTACATTTGATCAGTCAGCATATCTTTTATCTATTTCTGTGACCAGTTACAAGCTAATCACTCGGCTATTTCAATGCTAAATTCTATGCTAATTCCTTTGTCAAGGGGTGCCTCTGCGGATGTGTATACTTTAACTTGGCTATTTCAATGAGCCATTTCAATGCTAAATTTTATGCTAATTCCTTTGTCAAGGCGCTTTGTTTCTTCTCACACAGCTTAAAGGTCGTGATCTGAGCGTGGCTTTTTTCACTCCAGCGCTGTCCTCCAAACAGTCTCGTCCCTTCACCTGATGAAGGCCGCTTGTGTTGTGGCCGAAACGTCGTGATTTTTGTTATTTAATTTTTTACCTACGTGACTTTACCCAATAGAACCAAAGAGTGTGGAGGACGTGTTTAAACGATGGAAATAAAGATGTGGTTGAAGAAAGCCAAAAGTTCTTCGTCTAAAGTTCAACCACTACACAAAGAATACGGGGTTAAGGGCCGTCCATAAATGACGTCACGCGATTTTGGACGATTTTTGACCCCCCCCCCATCGTCACACTGCGTCACAAAAAGTCATAACCCCCGCCCCCCTCAAATATGACGTCACAAAGCTCTGCCCCCCCCCCCCCCCCAAAAAATGTATAAAACATGCTTCAAATCACTTTAAACTATTGTCATTGCAGTGCGTATTTAATGTGCCGCTACACTCTGATGTTGTAGGAGAAGACATTTATTACAAAGTCGATTAATTAAGTAGAACGCGTTGTCTATATTTATTTTTGTCGCTTTAAGATTCAAGTTTCAAGTTTTCAAGTTTCATTTATTAGGTATAGCCCTGTGAGCCATTCGGCTCTTAAGTCGGGTGCAACCGCAACAAACAAAATTAGAACACAGAACATCTTAAAGCGGTTGCACCCGACTTAAGAGCCGCATGGCTCACAGGGCTTTGCCTAATAAATTAAACTTGAAGCTTGAATTTAAAGTTGCGCATTTGGATGTGACGTCACATTTCTCAAACCCCCCCCCCCTCGTCACACATCGTCACAAATGACTGACCCCCCCCCTTCCCCAGGTGCGTGACGTCATTCATGGACGGCCTCTTAAACCGCACGGGTTGACAGGCGTGCTATACGAAATATCGCGATATCTTAAACCGAATTATCGCGAGACTTACAAATCAAAGCGGTGACATCATCGACAACCGCGCTTGCTCACAGGAGTTGAGGGTTGGTGGGGAGGGGTTCGACGAGATCTCGCGATATCTGAATCATTCAACCCTCCTTTAACGTTCGGAAAGGAAATATCGCGAGACTTCGAACTCAGAGCGGGTGACATCATTGAACATCGGCGTGCGAACATCGGCGTGCGACCAAAGACGTTTGCGCGTGTGTGGGGGCGGGGTTCTCGCGATATTTAAAGCCCACCCTGACCACGTTTCCCCAAGTCTCGCGAGATCTCAATTTGTTTTTCTTAAATCGTGTACGGGTCGCGGGCCTGCGTGAGTCTCGGTTCGACTCAGAGGTAAGGTCACTCGCTCACCACTCGTCGGCTCTCTCGCTTTGGCTCCCCTCCCTTCCCCATCATCCTCACTCAGACATTTTCAGCTCCGTTCTCGCGGAAGACCAACGGCGAGACGGAGAGGGCGAGAGAGAGAGAAAGCGAGCGCTGGTGAGTGAAAGCCAACTACGCTCCTATTGATGCGTCTGTTAACAAACAAATCGACAACAATGGTGTAACGTCTCGTTCGGAGTGGCTGCGTTTGTGTGTCCGCGATTGCCAAAGGCTTGAGAGGATTAAAACAAAATAAGGTCGTGGTTCAAGACAAAGAAAACCGGCACGGTGTCGTCAACTCGTGTCTCTTCAAACTTCAAATTGGTGCCTTTTGTTGCTGGCCGTCGTGGTGGTGTTTTTTTTCTTTTTCGGGGCCCTGCGCTCGGCAAACTGACGATACAGTTAACACGAAAGTACATTGATACCATGGTACACCGTGGCTTCACTATGGTCACTATAGTGCCGTTGTATGTATCGTTATACATTCGCACAGGCCGATACGGCGTGTGTGTGGGGGGGGGGGAGCCTTTCAGTGTTATTAACAAAGGGCTCTGTTGTTCCACTTACGCTATATACTGATGGTGTAATGTGTGTGTCTGTGCTCGTGATACTGTGCACTACTCACACGTTGTTTAGAACTTGAGGTCACAAAGCCTCTTCACTGCTAGATGGAGACCTCCCTCCCTTGTTGACAAATGGGGGAGGAAAAAAATGTGTGGTTGTTTTGACCATACTTCACCACGCTGGTCAGTGCGGATTCGCGTTGCAAGGGGTGGGGGGGGAGGCCCAATGTAGTTGCTTTCATTCCTCGCCACGGATGTTAATAAGGCTTGGGCCGGGAAGTCGAATGGCCCGGATTCATTAGCACGTATATACTACACAGTACTGTGCGTTCTTGAACAAACTTGGGCACTCGCTGTTAGTATTAAATGTCGATTTGACTCTCCAAAAACACCGGTGTTGCTGTACTTGGTAACGAATTGGCATGCTGTCTTTACGTGACAAACCTTTACTAATTGGCTGTGTCCGGGTGGTGTTGGGTTTAACGACACACATTTACGCGATTTAACCCCCCCCCCCCCCCCCCCCCAAAAAAAAAAACCAACCGATATTATGGATGATATTGGTCGCGAAAGCCTGCTTTGTTAATAAACTGTTGGTACTAAATGGCACAAATGCAAACACGTTGGTGTAGTAGCTGTTGGTGTGGTAGCTGTCGGTATCGTGTGCTCCCAGTAGTGTTGTACTTGCACAGATGTCTGGCACAGACGTCTCACACTGCTGTGTTGGTGTTTGTCTCCCGTAGTGGACCATTGAAACGACAGGTTTCTTACAATGCAAAGCCCTCCTGTCCGCTCATCCGAGAGCAGGCCGAAAAGTACCCTCGATAATGACACGCAGCAGTGTAATGTTTCACACAATTTATTGTAGAAGACGACACGAAAGCATTCAACGCCATCGCCCTAAGGTAGTGCGGTGCACGTATTTCGCAGTGACCACCCCGGTTGTGTATATCGTGGATTATTAATTGTACACTCGGCTTGACACACTTTCATTACGAAACAACAAACATGACTAACCCCAAGATTAACAACAGCCTTAACCGTAAACACGAGTTAATTCATAATCTTTAACAGTAGCCAAAACTCGAACCATAGCTTCATTTAAAGCTTTCGTGACTGCAAGAATTCATATTATTTGGGTCTTTCGGTAAAAGTCACGTAGATGGTTCCAAGAAAATAATTAAAACTACGACGTTTCGATCACAACACATGAGGATCATGTGTTGTGATCGAAACGTCGTAGTTTTTTTGTTATTTTCTTTGAACCTATCTACGTGACTTCTACCGAAAGACCCAAAGAGCATCTAACCATAGCCCCTAAGCTTTGTGGGCATGGCCATTATTCTAATAGCAGCAGAAGCCACATAATAGAGCTATGGTTAGGGCAACATATATTAGGGTTTCGTGGGTATGGTTAGAGTTAAGATTGCTGAGAGACTTAGTGCTGTAGTTAGGATTCGGGGTTAAAGGCTGCTGTTAGGCTGAGTAATATGATTAGGTTTAAGGCTATTGTTTGGGCTAGACGTAGGGGTAGAGTTAGGGCTACAGCTATTGTTAGGCTTAGGGCTATGATTTATGGTGAATGCTGCTATTAGGATCAAGCTTATGGATGTGGTTAAGCATCCGTAACACAAACCTTAGTCCGAACTCGGAGCATTCTGACCCTTTTCCATTGTTCTCACAGTAAACTTTACCCTAAATCGTGACCATAGTTCTAAGCCTACCAATATCTAGGCCTAATAACAGGTTTGACCCTAACCCCTCACCCTAATTAGAGCCGTAAGCCTAACAATACCTATAGGGCAACACCTGGAATTCAACAGCAGCTGTAAACAACACATTTAACTTTTACCACGTTTGTCATGAGTGTGACTTGCAACATAAAGCTAAACTGTTTGGCATTGGACCTGATGAATCTGAGCAGAATGTTCACTCCTATGATAATATACCTGTGCACATAGATGTCCTTCCCAAAACTAAAACGGTCTATTAATAACAAAAATTTAATCGAAGTACTCGACACATTCGTAAAAACCACTCTGCCTTAAAAGTAAAAATATAATACTGTATGAGACGTTTTGGGCAATAGCCATTCTCATACCTGTCAACCCATACAGTTTTAGCCGTGTTCTTGTACATGGGAAATTGAGTTTTCACATCCCTTACAGCGTACAGCCGTTTCAATACGGGCAAAACAATTTTGTTGTCTATTTGCGTTTCTCGCTTGCGATGGGACTTTGTAGGATGGACGTTGAGATTTCTAAGGGCACGGGGTGTGACCATTATTAAGGTCTGAATTGGTCTGTAAAAAGGTAGGGCACTGATGAGGCGTTGAGAGTTCTGCGTTCTTCATACCAGCGTTGAGCCATTACCCAAAACGTCGCATCTGAAATTGTTTTCCCTTTTAAGGCCCACATCATTATTGACGAATGCCATTTGGGCTTGCGCACCACCGCCTAACACAGCAGCAGTATCGCCACCAAATAATTCGTTTAATGAAAATGAAGCCTTTGCTAACAGCACACTATATGCGTTTTTTTAGTGTGCCAGGACCGTGTTAATGGTGGCAAGTTGCCGAGTTTTTATTTTATTGGTACTTTGTACTGCCACGGACGAACACGGTAACGTATATATTTTTCTATTCGTTTGAAGCAACCGTTCAGCTAAAGTTGATGTTGAACAGTGCACCTTTGTAACGTCGAGTAATCAGAAGTGCCTTTGTTGCACCTCCCCGTGTTTTATGTTTGGCCGAATCAAATCAACAGGGAGTCATCGTGGCAATCCAGAGGCAAAATTCAAAATATATTGTATGTTTGTGTTATGACCCGGGCTATGGAGGAGGCTCATGAGGGACGCTGCTACTGGGCAGGTGGAGGCAGTCGCCCTCCTGCAACAACGGAGGGCAGAAGAACGACGCTCACAACAACTAGCGGAGCGCCGGGCGGATAAAACGCAACAAGTTGGCACAGTAGGAGTACATCTACCGGTCATCTCGGTCAGCCAACCCATGGCATTTGTTGGGCCTGTCTTGAGACCTCCTGCACCTAGCCTGGCACAGTCGGGGGTACAGCTGGTGGTGCATCTACCGGTCATCTCGATCAGCCAACCCATTGCACCTGTAGGGTCTGTCTCGAGACCTCCTCATGCACCTAGCCTGGCACAGTAGGGGGTACAGCTGGTGGTGCATCTACCGGTCATCTCAGTCAGCCAAACCCATTGCACCTGCAGGGTCTGTCTCGAGACCTCCTGCACCTAGCCTGGCACAGTCGGGGGTACAGCTGGTGGTGCATCTACCGGTCATCTCAGTCAGCCAACCCATGGCACCTACAGGGTTTGTCTCGAGACCTCATGCACCTAGCCTGGCACAGTCGGGGGTACAGCTGGTGGTGCATCTACCGGTCATCTCGATCAACCAACCCATTGCACCTGCAGGGTCTGTCTCGAGACCTCCTGTCAGCGAGCCTTCGACACTTCACGTGGTAGCCTCAAAGTGCACCTAGCCTGGCACAGGTGCCGTAGTGATGTCACCGTCACTCAGTGACTCATGGCGGGGTGTCGGTATTATGACAGAGAGCGGTGGTGCAGTGGTTCGTGCGCTGCGCTGCGAAACTAGCGACCCGGGTTCCATTCACACTCGCGACCACCGAGGCACCAGTGACGATTATCTTAACCGGTTCTGGGCCCTCCCCTAGGTCGACTCGGCCTCATATTAGCACCTCGTGCAAGTGGCGTGTAAATCATCGCCACTGGGGAGACAAAGGCGGCCGGGCGTGGTGCTGGCCACCAACCCTCTCGTGTGCCGTGCTGTCCATAGACGCGACTCGCTAACAGCGCTTGCCCCAAGTCTGTTACAGGTTATACGGGGGATCTTTGTCTTTTATTATGACAGACGCGTTTAGTAAGACAACTGTTAATCTCTCTCTTTAAACCGGGCAAATCTCTCGCACGCACACACACACCTGCATTATTTAAACAAGCTCCGTGAAAATAAATTATTTATTTTGTAGGCCGTGCAGGTGGCCTGTTCTTGCCTAGTCCTCCACCCGGGTTCGAGCGAGCCCCCATGGGTTGGAATGTTAAGGAGAGAGGGTAGGGCGGGCGGGGTTAAGGTTAGGCCTTCGTGCCTCGCAGTGAATGAATCGGTAAAGGTTAAAGCTTTCGTAAGGCATATCTCCGACCTCAAACAAAAACGTTTAAGTTTCGGACGTTTTTTTTACTCTGGATATTGTGCAACATTAAAAAAAGTCTGAGTAATCATGCGATGGTAAATATCTTAAAATCGCCTTGCCAACCGCATAACTGCATCTGTGTGCTGTGCCTAGCGCCTATGCAAAATTGAGTTAAACCGGGCCGAAGGAGTTGAATTTCGTCTCGCGGAAAGAGGAATTGCTCGGCATTGATTTTGCTAATTCATGAGTTTTCTTGTTTTTCAATTTAACTCTACTCCCCGACTAAAATGTTGTTCAATTGATTTTTTTTGCATTAAAGATTGTTCTCGCAGTGGACGGCGCGTACACGTTGAACGTGACTGGGCCACTGGCCGTGTCGTATTGG